TTTGCGTTTAGTTTCAGCTATCAAACAATAAGGTGGTTCTATCAAACAATAAGGTGGTTCTCTAGAATCCTTCAAAATTGAGCAATGAGTTATTTTTTAAATATCATTGTGAATTTATGGATTTAAAGGTATTTTATGTAACAATCCATTGCCGTTGTTATCCTTATTGATGCTCAGATTGTCCCATCTTTGGCTAGTGGAAGCCTCTTCAAATTGACTCGAGTCCTTTTGACACAACCCTAGTGACCTTTGATTTCTGGTAGCACAGATGTTCCAGGATCATCTTTTACATTCTTTGATCCAGACTGGGAATCAGACATTTCTCCAAGGATCTCTGCTTCCTTTATAGGAAAGAATATTTAGAGACCATAATCTGGGTGCTACAATCAAAAACCAAATCAGTTGCCATGGAGCTGATTTTGACTCATGGTGACCCCAAGTGTGTCAGAGTAGAACTGTGCTCTGTAGGGTTTTCAATGGCTGATTTTTTGGAAGTAGATTGCCAGGACTTTCTTCTGAGGCACCTCTGAGTAGACTCAAACTCCCGACCTTTCAGTTAGCATCCAAGCACACAAACATTTGTACCGCCCAGGGACTCCCTATCTGGGTGCTAGGGGTGTTCATTTCAGAAGTAAACTTTTTTAAAGATCATGTAGTCAAAAGTAAACTAAAAAAATTCATAAATCTATTATCCACAGAAATAGAGAGGTAAAATATAGTTTTAATTCAGAGTAATGAACAACCGAAAAGAAACTTTCCTTTGAATTCATAATTTGTCGTATTTTGTTGTTACCTCTTTTTTGGCATGCAGTCTTTTAGTTTAAAAAAAAGTTTCCCATTAATTACATTATTAGAGATGATAAAATATAGAAGTTAATTTAAATGTTTTCTTTTGCCTTTTACTTGCAGCTTTTAAAAACCTCTCGTTTTAAAAATTTAGTTGTATATGGTTATCAGAATTAATGGAGTACATAGCATTCATGAGTATATTGCTACATTGTATTCTCTTAGGAGAATATGAATGATTCAGCTCATCACATTTTCTATGTAGCTGTTTTCATTTGAAATGATACCTTAGCATTATGCTAACTACACATTTCCATCTATAAAAGTCACATTTTCATTATTCAAGTGTTAAATTCATTTTAATCCTATATAGAAAGGTAGTCAGAAATTTATATTAAAATGGATTGGGGGGGAACACAATTTAAGTTACAAGACTATTTCGTATTTTATTATTTTTAATACCAACAGAAGTAGAGGGTCACCCCTCCCACCCGTGTGATTCAGCTTTATTAGCATATTAATGATTCTTCCTGGAGCTTAAGTCATTCTCTGCTAGTGATAATAAGCTGTGTATTTAAAGAGGTTGATTACATGTGTCTTTCGGCTCCAAGGATACCATTTAGGACAGCATTTTTTATATTGTATAAATAGTTACTTACAAGAGTTAATTTACAAGGTCTATTACCAAGTCATAGGAATGTAAAAACACCTTATTATGATAAAATTAAAATGCTGACTATAAGTCCCATTATAATCCACTGAAGACTCACATTCCTGCACGTCTAAAATGACAAGATAGACTAATTATCTCTAAGATTGCTACCAATCCTTATATAGTCATGTGCCGCACAACATCCGTTCAGGCAATGTCTGACTGCATCTACATCCGTGGTCCCATAAGGTTAAAATAGAGCCCAGGAATCGTGATTGGAGAATGAGATGTAGCGGACATAACCGGACGTAGCAAATACAACAGCTTCCCACGCACAACGTCTCTCATATACAAAGCCCAATTGCACTGCCAGGCATACACTCAAAACCAAACCCACTGCTGTCAAGTCAATTCCAACTCATACAGTATCCCATAGAGCTTTGCTAAGTACAGGCAGTCCCCAGATTATGAACAAGTTCCGTTCCTAAGTCTGTCTTTAAGTCGAATATGTACCTAAGTTGGAACAGTTAGATACAGTTTGTATCTAACATCAGCTAGTCAAATGTTTGTCTTAGCATATAGTGTACCTTTTTATGCATAAAAACGTTAAAGAAACACTTCCAGATACACTAAAACATCTTTAGCATAATAATACAGTAATAATAATAATGTTTTGATGCACGTTGCAAAGTAGTGCTCGTTATTATGAACCTTTGTGTGTACTTTGAATTTTTAATATAAGAGGCTTTATGGGGGTTGGTTCGTGACTACACATTGTACATATGTCAGACATTCGTAACCCGGAGACTGTCTGTATATAATACGGTGTTCACACGACATCCAAATCACATAATGTCCTATTTCACAGAATGTATCATGGACGTTAAGTGACACATGACTGTATTCTTTGATACTCCAAAGGTTCTAAGTTACGTTGCAACTTTATACAGCGTACGTTTTGCCCATGTGATTTTGAATAAAAATTTCTTCCTTCAGAAATGAACTTCTTGTGTCATATATATGGTGTTCACCTGCCTTTATGTACCCGTTTTCAGGGAATGGTTAGCTTTTCTTCATAACTCTTTTCTACTTCTCTAATACCTACATAGACATCATTATACACTAAAACCTGTTAGAGCCTTAACTCGACAGGACTACCTTGCTTTTCTGGGTCTCACAAGCTTTCCACCTTTGACAAGGTGCAGCCTTACTACTTTTCTGTTGCCCTCTATTAGTGAAAATATTTGAGTTTTCCTTCTCTGGCATGTTTCTGCCTGTATAAATGGCATGGGGGCAGTGTCTGTTCTCTAACTTCAGAAGGGAGAAGGAGAACCAAGATCAACAGCCCAAGGCTGATTCCTATGAGGTAGAAGTTAGACATGCCTCCTCTCTCCTCCCTCTCTACCAATTCTGAAACCAACAGCACTCTACTTTTCTGCTGGATTTGATAATTCATTGCAGTGGCCACACAGAACTCAAGTACAATACAATTACGGGGTTTATTAGGGAAGTAACAGGTTACAATTCAGGATCAGGAACACTTAAGGATACAGTTCTTCTGTCAGGACAGCCTCTCCTAGCTGTGCCCAGACATGCCACTCCCTGGCTCTAGGCCTCTGCCCAAAGGCACTCAGTTTTCTCTCTCCATGGGCAGGGAAGCCCACCACGCTGTCTCGTACTGCAGGGTCTCTGCTGTTGGGTCTCTCCTGCCACCACTTCTCACCGTCTTCAAGGTTAAATTTCTCTCTGTCTCCTGAGTCCAGGAGCTTCTCAGCGCAGGATCCCAGGTCCAAAGGACATGCTGGCTCCTAACCGTTCTTCCTTGGTGGTGCTGAGATACTCTGCTCTGGAATTGGCTCGCTTTTAAGGCAAAACTGACAAACCCCCTTGTTGGACCACAATTATCCTATCACACAGTCCTGCCCAGTCACTGGGGTGGGAGTTACAACACCTTGGCTAGAAAGCCACACAGAAGTAATCAATACCATCGTACTGCCTTATACACGTTCCGGCTTTCGCAGGTTTTACTGCATGTGTGAGTATATGGGTCTTAGTGTATGTCTGTACATACAGTCTCTTCACCCTTAGTCACCTTTTTTAACTGCTACCCAGAATATTCTTCTGGCTACATAGCATTAGGCTTAACCATGTTCTTGTAGAAAGCTCTGTCCAGTAGAGAAGCCACTAGTCTCAAGTGGCTGTTAGGCACTTAAAAGGTGGCTGGTCTGAATTGCGATGTGCTGTAAGTGTACAGTACAGACTTGATTTGGCAGACACTTATGAAAAAAGAATGTAGACTGTCTCATTAGTTTTCATATTGACTACATGTTAAAATGATAATCTTTTAAAAACGGAACAACCAGATGGAAATAATGAGAATATTCACACATTGTGAAGATTACAACCAGTGTCACTGAACAATTTGTATAGAAATTGTTGAATGGGAGCCTCAACTGCTGTGTAAACCTTCACTGAAAACACAATAAAATATTTTTTTAGAAAAGATAAATATCTTGGATATGTTGGGTTAAATATTAAAATTAATTTCACCAGTCTCTTTTTACTCTTTTTAAAAATGTAACTACTATAAAATTTTTTATTGCGTATGTGGCTTATATTTCTATTGGATAGTATTGTTCTAGAATAATGTAAAACTAATCATTATTCAGGCAGCTGAATCCCTATTTCTGCATAATATCAAGTTCTGTCCCAGACTTTTTTCCCCCAAGATTCCTTGGCCTAAACTGCACGTGGATTCTAGTTTGCCATGTGGCATGGCTGTGCCTGGTTGTGACTTAGGAATAGACTGTTCTCTTCTCCATGTAGACACATTAAGTGTCATCACAGTGTCATACATAGTGCCCCTCAGAAAAAAAGGTTGAGACAATCGATACATGAATGAAAACTTTGCCTTTGTTGTATCTTTAAAGAACAAGAAGAAAAGAATTTTAACGTGAGAGTAATATTGCTTTATGGATCTTTAGCTATGAGCTCTGTAAATGAATGTTACATATAAAATAAATGTTTATGAGGAAACCTAAGTGTTTCGTTGCAGTAAACATTAAGTTATGGTTTTCCTGCTTAAACTGATAATATTGTATTTCATACACAAATATTAAAATAAAAACATGCTTTTACTGACTCTTTTTTATGACTGTTGGAAATACAGTTAACATATAATCCACATGACAATTATGATATGCTGTATTTGTTTGATTGCAAATTTTAAGGTGTATATAAAAGACGGCAGACTCTCACTTGAACTGAGACAGATCAAAACAGAGGTTATGTTTTAACCTCATGTAATTTTGCATAACTTCTGTATGTAGCATGCCTTGAAACATTACCTCAGCTTCTTTAATATAAAACATTTTTTAAAAAACCTTCTAGATTTGAGGTTGAATATTAAAACTTCTCAAAATTACATATTTTAAATTTCAAATGATCAGCAATAAGATTATAATTACATCTGGTATAAATATAGTTGCTAAGCAATAAAACATTTGTTTGATCATTACAGAAATGTTCTCTTGTAAAACACCAGTTTTGTCTTAATTTTCAGGAAACTAGAATTCGGGCAATGGATAAGGATGCCAAGAAAAGAATCCATAATTTCTCTGTCATCAACCCTGGTGCTGGACAGGCTATAACTCAGATTTTCTCAGCTGACAATAGAGAGGATCTTCAGAAGTGGATGGAAGCCTTCTGGCAGCATTTCTTTGATCTTTGTAAGTAGATGTTTGGATTTTTAGTAGTATATTCAGGTAGCATGAAAAGATGCACACAGCAATCTGAATATTGAAATTATAATCTTACTGTTTGATAAAGATTATTTTCTTTTATGCTTTTTAATAAAATGACAGTGTATCATCAGTGCATGTGTGCTTTTTTCTCACAACTGCTCCCTAAAGACACACTGACTAGTATCCCTTTGAATTCCTAGCATCGCTACTTCTTACATTTAAGTTCCTGTAGTCTCTAAAACGACCAGCTAACATTTTCTCAGAATTGTAGATTTTAACAGCTTAAGCCAGTGTATTTTATCCAAGGGATAAGGAGCCATTTGAGAAATAAGAAACTTCTTCAGGATGCTAAAATGTTGAAATGTTCAGAGGAGCCTCATTTTTATGTAACCTTCTGTTAACTCCAGATTCATTATAATACCATCTTGGACATCATCCAAAGAGTTGTTTTTTTTTAAACCGCACATATGGTTTTTCAGTCTCAATAATACAATCCAATGGCGTGGATTATAAAAACAATCTGATAGTCATGTAATAAAGTTCTAGTATGTAAAATATGTGAAGTTCTAATTTTATTTCTCAATTTAAGGAGGAATTTCAACAGGAAAATATTAAAATTTTAGCAGGGTTTTTTTTTTTTTGTACTGAAAACTTAGCAGCTTATTTATTATATATAATTTTACACTGAAAACGTAGAATATTGACAATGGCTATTTCTAATCAAAGTAAACCTGTTAGGTTCAACCAGTATTTTATGTCTTTAGAATGCTTTTCTATAGAATCACAAAGCAGAGAAATAGCCATGATTTTTCAAAGCAGCCATTTCCAGACAACTAAAAGTTATTTCTACAACTCCTAGAAATAATTCTGCACACATTTTTGGAATTCCTACAAGCTGTTTTTGGAACGCTGTAGTTATATACCTGTAGTCCTCAGGTTCATTTTCGTAAGTCTGCTCTGATCCATGTCCTGGTTAAGAATTAAATTGATGGTTGGGCAGAGGGGCAAGTAAGGGAACCAAATGTATTGTTTATCTTTCATATACCAGATGGGTTCATTTATTTCTCATGCCTGTGAGGTAGAAATAGTTTTTCTCTGCTCTATAGATAAGAAAACTGAGCCCTGAGGAGGTTTCTGATTCACTGCAGGGAACCAGAGGATTCCTTCCATGGCATTCTTGGACTGTTTAGGACTTTTTTTCCTTAAATACTATCCCTAGGCACTCAACAAATGTTCATGTACTACAATTCTTTTTTTTAAATTTCAGTGGATCTTAAGCATGTAACTCACAAGATAGCAGCTTCCTTTCTTTTGTTGATCACAACTAAAATTTTAACTGCTTTCTTTAATGCTCTGATTTAGCATCTCTCATACAAAAACACTATTATTTCTAGAAGTGATTCTGGTATTTTATAATTTTTATGTGCATAAAAACAGGAAGGAAAGGGATAAGTGCAGGTAGAAATACAGAAACATTGTAGTCTGGATATCAACTACAACTTGATTATGATCTCATGTTTTCATTCCCTAGATTATGTGAAATAATTTATCAAGCTAAAGTAGGGAGTTGGAGGGATAAGAATCTCATGACAGTTTGGTACTGTCAAAGTAATAAGAAAGTGATGACAACTAGGTTCTCAAGTCTGGTTATTTCTTTAGTATTTAATGCTTCTTGAATAAAATCTGCCAATGTATTTAATTCTTAAAGGAAATTTTCCTTACTATTATGTTTACACTTTGGAATTCATTGTGTTTGGAGAAATGAAGCAAAGATGGAAGTATTTAAACTGTCCTAAAAATTGACTTGTATTTTAAAGTCTTTTACCCAGGAGCCTGGTGGTGCAATGGTTAAGCACTCAGCTGCTACCCAAAACGTCGGTGGTTTGAACCCACCAGTCACTCTGCTGAAGAAAAATGTGGCAGTCTGTTTCCGTAAAGAAATTACAGCGTTGGAAACCCTATGGGGCAGTGTACTCTGTCCTATAGGGTCTATAGGGTCGATATAAGTCGGAGTCGACTCGACGGCAACAGATTTACCTTTTTAGTGGTAGATAGGTGTAATCTCTTGTGATCTTAGTTGAAGTATGGTGTATAGTACAAAGTTGAAGATAGATAGGGGAAAATAAAGTAAGAATAATTTAATATTTGGACCAGGGTTCAATTCTTTGGTTCACTTTAAGAGTGGAAAAACAGGAAGATGAGATAAGTAGAAAGCACGAGGAAACATGGAGAGAACTAGGTTCGTTTAGACTAGAGAAGAACAGCAGGGGTGATGATGGTGGGGAGGAGGGAAAATAATAGCTATTTTTAATATTTAAGAGCTAATAAACATGTAAAAGAGGAGTGACACCTGTTCTGGCTGGTCAAAAGGCGTGGAATTGGGAATGATGGTTCAGAGATACAGAAACTTAAAATAGATTTGGAACATTAATTTTTCCCCAAATATTTAATAATATAAATAATAAATATAAATTATATATTATTATATATTTTATAAATGATACAGAGTTCCATTAACAGCTTAGCATAATGGATCGTTTTGACTGGGAACATTATAACAATAAATAGTATTGTGAGAAACATTTTCAATGTACACATTATTGTGTGAGCAGAACATATCCATTTAATATTTCAGATTGGGCCTTTGTTTTCATGTTAGCATACTATCACATATAACTATGCATACTAATTTATTTACTGGCAAAATAAATGTTTCAGTTGTAAGATCTTGACCAGTGAACATGCCACATTTGCACCTCTGACTTCAGTAACACACAGGATAATGTGGCATTATATTCTGATTTTCAATATGATTAGTATTCTGCTACTAGCTTAACAGTGAAAAGCTTTCATCTATCAATATAGAGAAAATATTGTACCTTATAATTTGTCTAAGAATGTGAAAGAAAAATATTTGCTAGTCTAAAATGTTTCATTATTTTTCCATTAGATAAAGGTTTTTTGTTTTGTTTTATGTCCCCAAGAAGCAAGATCTGGCTTTTATATATTTATCTAAAAAAAAGGAAGTGGAGGGGAAGAATAAGTTAGCAGATCTCAGATCCTGCTAGATTTAAATTCTGGGAGAGCAACCTTTGAAGCCTTATACTGACAGTTTTATACACTTTTATGAGTTGCTATGTGGGCTATTTGAAATTTTTACTTATAAGTAAATAAAATATAAGTATATTCTATACTTAGCATTGTAACAGATCACACTGGAAGGTTTTTATTTCTTGGCTATTTAAGGTGATGAATTTTAAATTTATACATATTGTACTATGACTATTTGTTAACTAAAAACAATACAAATGAATAATTTGACTAAAAATGTAATGGCTTTAATTTTTAAGCCATGGAAAATAAGTTGGATATTAAATATGGATATTGAGAACATAATAAAAGACAAAGAATTGAAGATCATAAATCAGTCTAAAAAGGCATGTATATGGATTACATTTACTTTTCTACTGGTATAAATAGAGTATAAGAATGGGAACCTCAATAACTTATAATATGTAATATATAGACAGATGGTATCTGGTAGTTGCTAGCTTTCATGCAGGTGTACAATAAGTATGTGAAAGATTAAATTTTTTATATCCAATCAAGAGAAATAAACCTGAGAGTTTTATTTTAAAATGAAAATAATAAAACATAATTTAAAAGAAAATATTTCCCACACTTATTTAACTTACTAGTTGGAACCAGTTATTCAAGAGTATTTTTTTTCCTAATTTGTAATGACTTTAAAGTATCCATCCCAAAATAAATTAAACCCAGTTACAATTTTGTTGAAATGCCTTTATAGTGATAGGCTTTTATGAGTATCTTTTATTTAAGTGAAAATAGTGTTTTTCTATAATTATATAATTTTTAAAAGTATGATGATCATCTTAAAGAGAACAATTGTTAAATAAACAATTCTTATTTCTTAATTAAATTTTTTACAGTTAAAGCTGTATTTGAGAACCACCACTCCTTGTTTTTTCTACTTGCTTCTACATAATTACATTTCAGTGGATTTTTACCTTTCAGCTGCCTTAAATACTGGATGTTTTCATTGAGTATTTAAAAGAAGAGAGCCTTTACAAACCTTTACCATAAGTAGAAATTTTCAAGTAATTACTAGCCTAGAGATCTTAGCTTAATATCTATACATAGAACTTTATTTTTTGAATAGATTACTTTTATTCCTTGACTTGGACTTTGAAATTATAAGGTAGTACTAGCTTTTTGTGCAAGCTTGCTTAAGCAATACTTCATAAATTTACTGTTATTTTTCTAACAAAAAAAAGTGTTTATATCTGTCGAAAATGAAATTTATATCTTCACATTTATGTTTTAAATTAGCCTACCTTTTCTGTCTTTCTTAGGCCAATGGAAGCACTGTTGTGAAGAACTTATGAAAATTGAGATTATATCACCACGGAAACCGCCTTTGTTCTTGACAAAAGAGGCGACCTCAGTCTACCATGATATGAGTAAGTGGGGTTTGTCTTTCTAAGCTGCAGGGTAACAAAAACAACATTGTCCGTATTCAAGCAGCTTATTCTATTGACATTAAAATGCTAACATTTTCAGGGCACAGTCAAAATGAATGAAAAAAGACTGTGATTATAGACTAAGGAATTCATGTTTAATAGATGAATTAATACAAAATTAATGAATACACATTTTTTATAGTTTGAATGCTTAAGATCAAACAAAAATTTTAAGGCTTCAAAATGAATAAAGGTGCAGTGGAAGTACATACTAGCTGAGGAGCTGATGAAAATTCTGAAAATGTAAGCTTATAGATTCTAGAATATGGCCATGTTCATTTTTCTGTATTTTATTAAATTTGTTTTTAAGTAGTTTTGGTAAATGAATATTAATGAGTGGAAGCTTTCGTCTCAGTCCAAAAAAAATTGGTTAAGTTTAATACTTAGGAAAATTTAACATTTCTGGATTCGTTAATATTCCATTTTTCCACATGTTGAAGGAGGTTGTTTATCCTTGTAGGATTGCCTCAGTGAATGTGTGGTGAACAAGCCCAAGTCGCTGCTAAATTCTAGTCTAATTCACCTCTAATGTACCTGTACTTACATATACTTTAAAATGTTAGATTAAAAATGATAAATTTGGGTTTATACATTTGAAAATACCAATGATTTACTTAATAAAGATATTTATCTCTGTTCTCTTTTTTTTCCCCAAGGAAAATTGCAACCCACACCCTCATCACCATAGTGATATCAGAGCTTATCTATTTTTCTATGTTTTTTCCCTTCACTCTATTTCCCTGGTTTTGGGGATTTTTTTATTTTTTCTTTTAACAGAGACTTTGCTGACTTACAGGAAATAATACTAATCCAATTACAGTAGTCCTGGTTTTTATGTCAAGCTTTTGTAAAAAAAGGGAATCCACTCTTACATAGAATTCAGAATAGGTATTATATCCAAGAAAAGTTATCTAATAAATACTTATAGAACCAAAAAAACACTCATCTGACTCCACTCTTTTGAAATCTAGATTTTACTCATTTGTTTAGGAGTGTGTGTGCATAGATAGATAGATGGATAGAGAAAGATCGATAGATAGAAGATAGTTAAGAACAAGCTAGCCAGCCTACAGAATCTCTCCCTAATATTTGGTTCTACTGATATCATTATTTTTAAAAGTAATTGTTTCATTGCTTATGCTAGTCTAAATTTTTGATGATCATTATACTAGCATATTTGTTTAGAAAATAATAACTTATTCAGGTAAAGAAGTATATACTGTTTTTGAATTTTTCCTGTGTATTTTTTCCTAAAATTACTATAGGCATTGATTCTCCTATGAAACTTGAAAGTTTAACTGATATAATACAAAAGAAAATTGAAGAGACAAATGGACAGTTCCTTATTGGTCAGCATGAAGAATCCTCACCACCTCCATGGGCCTCACTCTTCGATGGAAATCATCAAATGGTCATTCAGAAAAAAGTATTATCTCCTACAAGTGAGCAGTTATTTGATGGGAAAGGGAAAAAGAGACGAGCTCCCCTTCCTCCTTCTGATAAACCTCCATTCAGCTTAAAAACACAATCTGGCACAGATCAATTGGTTAAGGACAAGTGGGAAAAAACTAGTGTATCTCAGACCTCACCTTTGGATGCCAAATTATCAACCCTAATGCATCATCTGCAGAAACCAATGGCTGCTCCTCGAAAACTTCTTCCTGCCAGGAAAAATAGTTTAACTGACGGTGAACACACAGACACGACAACCAATTCTGAAGCCAAGCCAGTGCCAGCTCCAAGGCAGAAATCCATCAGAGACATTTTGGACCCTAGATCATGGTTGCAGGCACAAGTATAGAAAGCTCTTAATATATAAAACATTTATCAAAATCTGTAACTGTGAGGCTTAATTCAGAGGCATTACAGATGTAATGACATGTAATTATGTAGGTAAATGTGACAGTGATTTACATCAATAATAAATAAGCTGTTAGTTATAGAAAAAATATAAGTGATTTCCCCAGCAGAGTGCAAGAGACAGTTTCTAGACAATATCCTAATTGTCGGAAGGGTTAATTTATTCCTAAATTAGTACCAGGAAGTGAACAAGAACTAGGCAGAATAAAGCATTCAAATTTCTTTTAGGGAGAGACTGTCTAGTAATTTAAAATGTGTTAAATATGAGCCCTATTCTCATTGTGAAAATTTTAATAGTAATGGAATGTTTCAAATGTTTTCTTCAAGCCACAAATTATAGAATCTACCCAAGAAAATTTTCTTCTTAGCATTCTGGAATTCTCATCTAATGGTTCACTGGCCTCATCTCTTGTTCAGCTTGCTAGTTTATAGGCCTGACGTTTTAAATTCCTGGGATATATTTTGGAATATTAAATTCTTCCATCTTTAAAGAGAATTTTTAACATGTTCGAAGTTGTTTCCTTGAAGAGCCCTGAAATCCTGTTGATATTAACTCTTATTAGTGAAACGTAACATTTATTAGTTTAGAGAAATGGTAGATGAAATATTCTTTACATCCACTTTTCTATGTGTGGTGCTAATTTCCAGTATGCTTTGGAATTTGGGGAAGTGGGTAGCTGATCAACACCTTAAGATTCATCTAATAATTATTTAAAAAGCAGATGGCAGATTCAAGAATAACAGAAAAGTTGGCTATGTTAATAATTTTCAGGATTCTTTTTTTTTTTCTTAATTACCATATTTTTATGCAATTAATGCATACGTTCTGTGTGTTTGCTGGCCATGCCTCTCCCCCCACCCCCTGCAAGGTATTTTCATAAGCATGCTATACTTTTTTTTTTTTTTTTTTTAAATCACAGCATAAAAAGCACTTTTCATGATTTATATTTGTCTCTACTGGTTTTAACGTCTTTTGTTTAAGCATGCTATACTTTTTTTTTTTTTTTTTTTACAGCAATGTGGAAGAGAATTGGCATGGCAGCCTTTGAGGGTGCCTCATAGGGGAAGGGCGCAGCCCACAAACAAACGCAGAGGGCGTGTGTTATTTGCGTAAAAATACAGTAGATGTTAGCTATTGATATTATTCATTTATAGTCATATTCTTAACAACAGTGACATAGGAATCATTTTCATAGGAGGTAATTTCCATAGCAGTTAATCGTGGTGACCCAAACAGGATTATGAAATCAAATGAGGAATAAATAACAAGAAGATGAAATTTCATTTCTTATAATAATGTTGCTTGTAAACAAGAGCTTAACAGTTTTGAAAATCTAATCAGAATTTCCAAATAAAGCAGTTTCCATAAGGTGCCACCAACAGCACTAAAAATCTCAAATCATACTGAACTCTTAATGTCATTGGAAGAAATAAAATATGTGAATTAAATTACTGCCGTATGGGTAATATTTAGAGATCTTTTTAAAGCTAGTTAAGGGCTCTATTTGGATCAGAACTACATTATTTTAAAGTAAAATGAATACTTGTCAAAAGTAACTTATTAATTTAAATTCAACCTTTCATTATTTTTAGAAAGACATAACTGCCGTATTACTTATGTGTTTGGCCAGGACTCCTAGTAAGAATTGGGACTCAAGAGAGTAATGATACAAAAGGTCTCTTGCGGTGGCAGCACCAGGATAGACTTGGTGAGAAGAAAACCGTAATACTTGCCCAACATAATTTAGAGACAGTCACATGTATGAAAACTTTAAAAAGGAGGATTAATTTATTTTTATAACCAGAAAGATCTCATAAATTTCTAGTGTGATTGCCACTCCAGTAAATGACATATTAAAAATCAAAAGGATATTATTGTTTGATTTTTTTTTTGTTTAGTTTTTAAACCTCAGTGCTGTTTTTGACAGCATTTGTGACTGTTGTTGCCACTAAATTATAGAGCTAGAAAATGCTGCAGGCAAAATTGTTTCTGAAACTGACATCCAAGGAATTCTTTTTTTCATAGTTGGTGCCTTCTTTTATAATGAATTAGTATTAAAACTTCCAAACTATATTCTTTCATTTCTCCTCATGCAAATTTTAGCCAAAAGGATTTAAGTAAATCAAGTAAGAAAATTTTTTCGTAGAGAACTTACTTAGCAGTTGTACCCTCAGTGTGGAAACTCTGAAACAGGACTGAAGCCCTTCTTCTTGGACCCATGTAGGTGAAGCCTGAGCAAGGACTAACCACTCCCACCCCTGAAAACAATGTTGTTTGTTTTGTTTCTGGGAGACCCATTTCACTGCATGTGGCAAAGCCTTTGAAATCATCCTGAAGCTCCTAAGCTGCACATCCTTAGACTGTTTAAAAAAAAAACAAACAGTTGTCCAGTCGATTCCAACTGATGGTGACCCCATGTGTTGCAGAGTAGAACTCCGCTTCATAGTTTTCACAGTCTGTGAACTTTCTGAAGCAGATCACCAATCCTTTCTTCCGAGGAGCCTTTGGGTGGGTTCAAACCGCCTACCTTTCAGTTAGTAGCTTAACTGTTTACACCGTCCAATAACTTCTCTTTGACTATGAACCAAAAAAAATAAACCCATTGCTGTCAGGTCAATTCTGACTCATAGCAACCTTATAGGACAGAGTAGAACTGCCACATAGAGTTTCCAAGGAGCGCCTGGTGGATTTGAACTGCTGACCTTTTGGTTAGCAGCCAAGCTCTCAACCACTACACCATCAGGGTTTCCTCTTTGACCATAGTGATCATTAAATGCTAGTCCACTCCCCCACAAAAGGTATTTATAAAACAAATTTGATTTTTTCTTCTTTTTTACTCTTTTTTTCCCTTTATTTTTTACAGTTAAAAAAAATTATCTAAAAATGTTGAGTTAAACACTTTGTCAAGGAGTTAATCAAAAGAAGTATTTGTTTTCTCATTTGCTAAACCAGAAGCTTGTAACAGAAAAATATGTCATGTAATAAAAGATGTTTCAGCTTTTTATGAGCTGGCTTTTCATATTCCATGTTTGCCCTTTTATTTCTTGATATATGAGGATGATAAACTTGAAACAAAGAGTTAGCAGTCAGGTATTGATAATAATATAATTGGAGAAACATAATAGAAACAGATATTTCATGATACCGTGATAGTTCTGATGATCTGAAGATAATGTTTTAGACAATTGCATTTCTATTTGAAGCATGAGGATATAAATTACTTAAAACAATTAAGATAGTCTTGTTCTTAATTGCTGCAAAGTGGTAAGCTTTTTGTTCAAACATCTTGCAAGGACAAAGAAGGCATTTTGTTAGTATAAACCTCCTAAGGTAAAGAGTCTTTCAAAAATATCAGGCATGCCAACTCTCGCTGAGTTTTGTTAAATCCTCCTTAGCTATCTGCCGTGCCCCATGACCTCTTTTAAGTGGATGTGAATGTATGTGGAAAACGAAATCCATTTATTATAAATGCCTTTTCTTTACCCTTTAAGGTCCTACTAAATGTATTTTACCTGGTATTATTTATTAAAAATGGAAGTTGCCATGATTTAGAGACAACTCGTGTAAGGTAGGTTAAGCAGTCAAGTATTTCTTCAGGCTTATGTTCAGCACCTCAGCCACCTACTGAGAAGTTAATTAATTCAGTCCAAAATGGAATTATAGTGCAGTTTGGTGCAGTTTATGTTAAATGCCATTTGAATGTAATCACCTGTGTTACCACGAATGAGGAACGGTACTAGGTACAGACTGCAGCACCATGAATAAGAAGAGAAGTGTTTTTGCAGAAAAAAATGTCTGTCCCTATGGCCAGAATTTATCAGAAGGCACTGTCTTTTTAAAGAATGAATTATTGAACAATAATTAAACTTTAACTGATGACCATTTATATTCTAGTAGTTATCTTCAGCATTCTATTAGTCTTAAACTATAATATAGAGTTGATTTTGCACTTAATTTTAGGGATGTTATTGTTTTTAAAATGCTTACATGTTTTGTGTAATTCTGTTTCATTGCTACTAGTTATATGAAAACGGTTTATTCTGGCTCATGCATATTTTTAGTTAACCCTAGGAAGGATGTTACCTTTTAATTATTATAAGACGAGATTACATTTGAAAATAAATTAGGGTGCGTTATTTTCTACGACATACTTATGTAATTTGCATTGTTTTGTAATTTTTGTTTTTTAATTAAATGTGGTCAAACTTCTAGATTAAAAAGTATTATATCATGGACATACATTTTCTTACAGCACTAGAGGTATTTGGTAAGGAAGCCAAAGTCATGTGATTATAACTTCTCTAAATTAGAACTGATTTATAAAGATATTTTCTAGCTTTTTTTTCCCTAGGATACCCTGTTTAGGGCTAGACTGATAGAAGCAAAGAGTGTGTTGGAATCAGTTTAATCAGAGAAAGACATACCCAATAACTGCTACTAGTTATTATAAGACTAATATCCTGATATCCTGGGTATACTTAACATTTATACAATGTCTGCATATAACCATTTTTACAGTATACGCCTTTAAAAATTCATTGATGTAACCTTTCTTTTAGTTTAGTGATCCAGAATTTCCCCAGAGCTTAAGTCACTCTGATAAGAAATTAGGCACCTAGAATAGTCAGTCACCATTAGCCACAAGGAGACTCCTTATTTTAATGTCCCTTTCTCAGTACTTAATTTATTCCCATGGAGCACCTCAGGGGAGGGGGAGAGAAATGAGTGATGCTGCCTCAGTTATATTGTCTCATTGTATTTCTAAATCTGCAGTATGACCAAAAATATTTTACATTTAACATATCTTTTTAGAAAGACTTCCTTTTCTCTGAGTAGAGAGGCTTACTAATCAGTGTATCCAGATAAACTAAATACCTTAAGTTTCAGTTAGCAAAAAAGAAACTATTACGGAAATAGTAACATTTGTATGTATCTGAGTATAGGAAAAAAATACAAATCCTGGCATGTTTGATAATTAGAAAGCCAGGCAAGATCATTTCAAATTTTACTAAAGTTTGTATTGTACTTTAAATTGTAGAAGTTTGCCATTACTGAACATTTTGATCAAAGACTTTATAGAGGAATCCTGATCAAAAGGGGGAAA